CAAGAGTTTTCTAGCACTAGCAACACAAACAGGACATAAGTGCTAAAGATTAGATGTATTACAAAAGAGAAACATATTTTTAAAATGGAGGACAAGAGATAAAGACAATGGATGTTTGATTGCAAAAAAGGAGCACAACACACCAAAGCATCCACAACCCACTCACACACCATATAGAAAAATCCATCACAGAAACAGGTTTCCAGCCATGAATCAGTCAGGATAACAACAGTTTGAACTCACAGGTTTAAAGCATACAAAAGTATTGCACACAGATTTAAGACCTCCTCAAAGGGACAGTAGAATCTTCAACAATGAAATCAACAACATGTAAAAAGACAAGAGGTAAAAATTGGCAAGAGTAAACCGCTCTGTGTAAAATATTACCCTCAAACAATAACATTAGGACAGAAGCAAGAGCAAAACAAATGGATTTTGAAAACAATTATACAGTAAGCAGCAGAATATTGTTCAAACAACAGCACTTTATCATATGGCAAATCTTCCATACAATTCTGAAGGTCTACTTACACTTAACCAAAAACCAAGGTACAAGTATGTGATGAGCATTACAAAATGAAAGATGACCAAAATCTGAAATTAAAATGACCCACTACTGGCAAAAAGTGAACTGACTCTCATTCTAACATTTTTATGATTCCCTGAAGATACATTTTAGATTAATACCATTTTCCAAAGATGCTGCTCATGTGCCCAGTATATTCAAACCAATAGGATACGGTAAAGAAGCATGCACACATACACTTTATGAGGTCCAGTTTGTGTAAAAAAGAAGCCAATCAATATGATGAAATTTGTTTAGTGCTGGGAAAAAGCATGGTAAGCACAGACAGAAACAGACAGTAGACTAGGAAAAAAGAAATACCTATCGGTCATGCCCTCCAACCAACTGCACACTCATTACACGTCCTGAAACAAGAAAACGATGGTGAATTTACACTTGTCGGAGTTGTCCTGCCTGCCATCAGGGTAAGAACCTTTGCTGTCTCATAAAACGTGCTGAATGGGGCTACCTACTACTATGTCTGTCAAAGAGCAGTCACCAGTACAGATTGATGTCATTTGGGAAAGATGGATAACTTAGCAAAGCTACAGCTTACAGCTTCACAAGCAAGCAGAAAGTGTACCTATTTGTCAGTTGCAAGACTCTATTCAGCCAAACATCTACGGTCAACATTCACAGGAGAGTTGTCCATCGGCTCTTATTATTTTTTTTAGGAAGACAGGAGAACATCTATATATAATATAACAATGTTCTTTCTTATAGAGAATGGTTTGCAAAAGCCACATGCAGAATTTTCACAATGGTTAAAAGAAAGTAATGTCATGTGGCTGCCTTCAAGTTCAAGGCGTAGGAACTTACACACTGTAAAGAAAAATGTTCATGGAAAAAACAGCTGCGTGGCGATTTGAAGGACCTCATTCATTTATTACCTCTGGGGTCTAACAGGAGAATGCAGAGTTAATTGTATTTAAAATTGAAATAGAGTGGGAGCCACCACAGGCACCTCAAAGCATCTTTGCACTTCGCTGACTTTACAAATAGTACACAGATGTATAACTATAAGAATGACAAGACTCACGTAAAGGTATCAATGCTCCGTTCAACATAGAATGAACAATGAGATTTAAGATAATTTAAACAAAGCCTAGGGGGAGGACCGTTGTGACAACTCCTCAAACAGCACAAGTTAAACAATGTTTTATTGGGATTCAAACCAGGACTGTAACCACTATTTAGAACAAGCCAAAATTACACCAATTGAGCTAATAGGGCATCTAAAATACGATTCAGAACACACATCCACCAACATACTTCACATTCATGCCAGCACAACAACTGTGAATATGAAAGACTTCTTATGCAAAGCATAAAACACACAAGTTTCACAGGGGACACTTTAGCCAAAGCAGAGGCGTACAAATCGAAAGCTGATACTGTTAATATAGGCTTATATTTACAAACTTTACATAAGCCCTTGTGGTAAGAAAAAAGAGATCACTGTATCACCAATACGTCATCAGAATATATATACAAATATCAACACGAACAAGTAGAAAAAAAAAGTTTGAGAGATTTTCATATAAGACCAGACCACAGCCCCCAACCCATTGCACGTATATGCGAGGTATCATGGTGAAATCAGGCGCTCGTCAAAATAATGAAATCAAAGAAATTGGCATTTTTCTGGCCGTTGGGCAATTTTTTTTCTAATTTTCTTTTTTTTTCTTCTCCACAACTATTATATCAATTTAAAAACACATTTCTGTGTGGATTTTACTTAAAAACATTGATTAAAAGCACAAAAAATGTAAATTTTCAGTTTCCAAGGACTCTCAAGCTATGGAAATTACCCAACTTTGGCGGCCATTTTTTTTGCTAATTTTACCTCTGAAACTAGGAGACCCCGCCACTCTTCAATCACAAAAATTTCGACTTCTGTTCTACATATATGGATACTTTTTCACCAAAAGCAAGGCAAATTAACAGGCCTTAAGATGATACCAATAACCCCATATGCCCAAAAATTGACTAGCACATGATTCCACCACGTCGTAACACATATTATCTATTCAAAAGGTAAAAATGTGGGATTGAAGTAGATAATGAACCCTCATGACAGTTGAACCACATTAGTTAAACATAAAAATATAGCCTATCAGATGTCAAGGGGGATAGGTTGGGGAATTCACATTTGTCTAACTGGTCAGATATGACATTTGATCTGAGGCATCACTCACATCCTGCACATGTGGGTCTCTCGACAAGCTGGGCGTTTTTATGAAGACAAAACTTTAGATCAAAACATTGTGTAAAATAAAATGGAAAAGTTAAAATTTTAGAGGAAAGTCAACATTTACATTACATAAAGTAGTGGGTAAAACATGTAAGAATTTTCCGTAACACCTATTGATCAGAACCTAGGCGATCATAAATCAGGCAGCGCAGCCCAAGAACTACACACCTTGCTTGTGGGCTGACACACCGGCCGCTCAGGCTTCGGCCCACAGCAAGCAGTGACCTTCGTAATGATAATAATGATTACAACGGCCACGGCTAGGCGGTCTTTCTCCCTCTCTCTCTCTCTCTCCCTCTCAATCTCTCCCTCCTTTCTCTCTCTCTCTCTCCCTCTCAATCTCTCCCCCCCCCTCTCTCTCTCTCTCTCCCCCCCTCTCTCTCTTTCCCTCTCTCTCTCTCTCTCTCTCTCTCTCTCTCTCTCAATGGTTTAGCTTCCCTGTGTTTGTGTTCAAACTAACGGACATGTAAAAAATTATTCTAGACAGACAAAAGCGATGGAAAGACAGAAAGTTGACTTGAGTTGAGTTAGAGTTTTACGGAAATGGAGGGCACACACTGATATGTTTTGACACCTTTTCATAGGATAAAATGTTTGGTAAGCTAGCAGTCCATGCCCGACATTCTGTTTCATCCGAAGGAAATCCATACAAGGTCACTTTTTCTGCACCTTTCTGACTGTCATAGCCAGTTTTGCATCCACCAACTGAGCATTTTCTTCCCATTGTTGTTCTTATTCCTTCAGTTTATTTTGAAGGTGTCAGTCACAGTCCAACAGAGTCATAACCACACATGATGAAAGCAATAAATAGGCCTAGAAGAGAAGCATGTAAGCACTGTGAAAGAACAGCAGATATTAAACAAAGCAGGTCGGGAAAAACACAAAGGAGCTCCCCCATAATTATGATCCGTATACTTTTCCCTACCTAACAAGGGTGGGCCCCTAGACGCTCAGAGTCTAGATATATAGATTTATATCTACATGGTCCTTTTAGTCTATTGTTTGTGTTACAAACTAATCTAAATCTAAAAGCAGATCTAGGGATAGGATGGAGAGTTCGTTTTTAGTGGTTGTTTGCATAGAGAGGCTCTAAGTCAGTGAAGAGTGTGCGGATCAGAAGGGGGGGCCTCCACTGTGTTGACATGGATTTTAGAATGGATTTAGACAGATATGAATTAAACGTGCACGGTCAAAACTTCACTGTAGGTTTAATCTAAACACGTACACTGATGGAAGAGATATTTGATATTCACACAATCCAGATGATTTGGAAAAAAAACTGCATTAGGCCTCAACTAAAAGAATCCAGGCATTCACTGAGTACGATGGCGATGAAGAATCTGAAAATGAACAGTAGGCCTACAGTGCAGCCAAACAGCACTTCAAATTTGCGATCTCAAGACTGTTGGTCAATCTTAATTAATTAATTAATTAGTCACCACTTCTGTTCCTCAACACACACAATGATGTAGAAAATATTCACATAATCCAGATGACTTGAAAAGCAAACTGCATTAGGCAGAAATAATCCAGTGTCAAAGCATGAGAAAACAACAATTCAAACTGACCGCCGCACCCTGCGTAGGCTTATCACTACTAATGATCTACAAGGTTGTGGGCTTACTACACGGGTGTGTCAGCCCACAAGGAATCTAGGTCAGTAGCGCGCAGGTGGCCTGATTATATGACCGTCTAGATCAGAACCTACAAGGACCACTGAGTGCGAGAATAGCAATAACAATAATAACAAAAACAGAGGGAGCAAGACCGATTTGAGTGATTAGAGCACCTTTTTGACAAAACAAGAAAAAAAAAAGTTAACTGCTTCCATTTCATGCTTCACTTCAACAAGAGAATTAGCACATTAGTATATAATACAGTACTCTCCACAGTATCTTCCAAGCCATGCTCCACTTCAAACAAATAAAATTCAGTAATTGAAAAACAATATCAAGTTTCTGTGTTACCCTGTCAATCAAAGACCATACATTTCTTTGACAACAAACAAGCACATTATATCAATTATAACTATAATTAAACATGTATTTATGAAGGAAAATAACTAAACATTGATTTGAAGTACCATGGAATAATTTAAAAGTGTATTATTATCTTCTGAATCACAAGCTGTAAGGACTTTATTTTTTATTTCCCTGCCAAGAAGGGTTGTTTTAGTCTTGATATTGAGGGAGAAGACTGGGAGACTAAATCAGAAAGACAATAAAAACACAGAGGCGATTGAAAGAGTGGATCCAGAAAGACAAAGAGAAAAGAAATTAATCTATAAATTTAATACAATACAGAGGAAGATATCTTTATAGTCTGAAACTGTTTCTAATTAGATATTGTCCAGTTAGTAAAACGGATTTTGCTAGTATGGATAACACTGACTAGTGTACTAGTCACTTTGTATACCACTATGCAACAAAAACATAACAAGATATATTAAAAAACCATAGGAGTAAGCAGATACTGAACCACTGGGATGCTTTAAAATCCATAGTATGACTTAGAAGTTGAAAACGTCTACAGTATAACATGGATAGCTCGAATTCGTCGGGACCGGCCTTGGTAGTTCGAGGGAATCTTACAAAGATATAGTAAAAATACAATAAATGGGAGCGTAGGTACCGTATGACGGATACATGATTTCGAGTCTTCTGTGCTCGACCTATCCCTGTTAAACTGTATTTAGGAAAGCATCCACACATTCCCAAATATTTACTGTACTTCAACTTCAAGAATGTGGGTAATTATGCTGTGTTATAAAAAGAATTTATAGTGTGAACTTTATAAATTACGCATACAATAAAACAGGAGATACAAAAAAAAAAGAGTAAAAAGTACTTGAATTTTACTAAAGGAATTAGAATGAACAAGTTCACAATCTGAAGGGCGAGTACAATATCACAAACTCATGTGTACTGATAGGTTAAAGAAGCAACAGGCCTGGGGTTGTACCCTACAAACCAAAGAAATCTCTTTCATTTTGAGCACAAGCAAAATTTGTACATTTTCAGCAGTAATGTTTAATCCACTTCTTTTACTCATGTTTCTTTGACACAAACTAAGGCATCTCCCCTGCCCTTCGAGCAAAACCTCCACTTGTGGGCCTGCATTACAAATGGGTTTTTAGGTGTTTTTTTCTTCAGTTTGTTAAAATCAAGAGTTTTATGGTGCTCACAACTACATAAGGTCTTATAAGTCTAATAAGTGTGTCATAATGACTGTACTGAGGCTTCACACTATGGAAGAAAAGGTATACCGGGTGCCCATTGTGGATTAGATCGGGTTAGGCAAGGCGATTTAGGAATAGACTCCTCCCTGGAGTCAAATTTGAGAAAAATAGAAAGCTTTGACCTGGGGAGGTATTAATGTACATAAAACTTATTACTTTTCCCCACAATACAGCCAATTCCACTTATAAAGGCTTCAAGCGCTAACTGCCGCATTTTGTGTTTGCTGTGATGAGAGGTTCTTGAATCCTAAAAACACGGGAAATGTCCATAGTTGTCTAGATCTATCAGTATCAGCCTCTCCATATCTACATGGTCCATTACTGGATTCCACACACAAGAAAACAAGACCGAGTACTGGCTCTTCACATCTGATCATGAGACTCATGACCCTGGTAAAACAAAAGCAACTGTTTTTCAAGGTCAAAATCTAATCTGTCGAATTTTGCCACGATGATAGCTTTTGCTTCCCCATGGAGAAAAATATGGCTGACCCCAACCCATTCAACTGAATTTGAGTGGCATTGTGCAATGGGTATCATTTAGTAAAATAGACTGACAGCATCATTACTGTGAAACACCCTCTCCCAAGCGTACAAAGAACATCAACACCAGGTAATTCCAGGAATGTCTACAAGACCTATGACACAGTTTTATTTGAGCTCATCCGGCCTGCATGTCATGGGATTGCACAGGCAGCCAGTCAGCGTGATACCGACACATTGTGCCAAGGAAAGAAAGGCAAGGATAATAGTTACATGTGTACTGAAAAAGAGAAGAAGGACAAGACCACACCAGGGTGTCCACCAAAGTCATGTTGACCTACATGACCACTCACAGCACTCTCTATGGGTTCAAATCAATTTTCAATTATATTCCCCCAATGTAAGTAATAAGTATGCCAACAAGAGGTAACTCAGCCCATCCTCCTTCAATCTAACAAGCTCTGTGAAACAAGTTGCACACAAATATTTGACACAAACGGGCATACATTTTATAGAATGTGAAAGCCGGAAAGTAGTTTTAACCTAAATTAAGTCTTTTAGAAAACTGTAGCCAAAAAGACCGTTATCATATGGCATCACTTTAAGTACTGTAACATAGTATCAATAGAACACAAAAAAAATATTTAAAAAGGTAACCTTCAACAGGTAGGCCTACTCTTAAAAGGAATTGAAAAATGAGAAAATAAATACAAGAGACTATAAAACGTTCTAATGTGAATTAAGAAATCTTTTATGACCAATACTAACTATTCAAATTCATCTCAGTAGTGACTGGGGAATGGAGAAGAAATAGGAAAAGGATTTGAGCACATAGATACCATTAATATTGGACATTAAGACGAACTTTTCACACATTTCAGAACCTGTGTACTGTATTTATTGTAAATGCTTCAAACTCCATTCAAACAATTTTGAGATTATCGATTATTCTTAACGATTAACGATACACTTTGACAAATAAGAGAATTTATGAGGTATCCATCAATTCCTCACCAGAGAAAAGGAAACTGGCAAGTATTAAAAAAGATATTGATACGCCTATAAAGATAAAAGTGACATTAATATAAGAATTCAGTTTGACAGTATCTGGCAAAGTAGATGATACATCTATCCCATGTCAGTATGTGACATAGCTTATAAAAAAAAAATTTAATCAGTTTCATTCCCGTCAATCACTTAACTCACCAAAACCACTCAAAAGCTATCAATAGAACTGTAGCAGTCCTTTCAATAAACAATTTGTAAAATCTCTTCATAATGAAAATTATATTACATATAATTTTTCGTGTAGTTTGAAAACTCTCAAAGTACAACACAACAGGTATTAAAGCGCAAAAACTTTACTGCAAGTACAAAAATCTGTTTGATGCTCAAAAATGGGAAGTTAATTCAAAACAGAGTTAAATAATTTCAACAAAAGTAACAAATGCAAGCAGTGGAAATGGAATAATGAATTACATGTATTTATTTCTAAAGCCTAATATCCAATCATTTCTTATCCTTTATCTGCAAGCTGGCAATTTTCAGTTCCACGAATCAGTCCATTTCCAACTGTCACAGCCTTATTTTCAGAAGCAATCACTTCCATGGTATCGGTTTTCAGTCCACATCCACCATTTCTATCAATATCTTTCACAAAACTATTGTCAATTTGTGGAGACTGCTTCACAACTTCTACTGAAATCTTTTCCACAAGTTCGGTGCCTTTTTCCTTTTCTTCGACATTTTGCTTCTCCTTTTCAGAGCCTTCAACATGGACAACTCTCTCAGTGCCTTCATCTTGAGAAGTTCCCCTTTTCATCTCACTAGCCTCCTTTTCTCTGCCATTGTGCTCCTCAGCACTAGAGATATTGTTGGAACACTTTTCCTTCTCTGTATCAACAACAGAAGACGCACTGTCACGATGCCATGAAGAACTCTCATACACACTCTGCTCTACCACTAGCAGTAGCTCCTTGTCACCCTCACTAAGTTCTGAGCGCAAATATCTCAACAAACAGTCCTGGCCTCCGATAGCAGCAGGGTGGTCAAGCTTTGAGTCCAGGTTCATGTACTGACCCTGGAGCCAGCGAATGGCAATCCAGTGTTTGCGGTGGATCGGCAACTTCCAGAAGCCAAGCTTGTAGTCACTCGGTGTGTTCAGGATAAAGCCCATAATCTTGTTGGTTACAAGCACTTCCACGTCCCTGACAAAAAAAAAAATCGAGGAGATATAGGATGAGAATAAGGGAGTGGGAATTTCATTCATGACTGCTAAGTCGGAAACAATAGATGCATTGGAAGAGGGACAAAGGTAAGGCAAAACAAACAACTCTTTGTTTTTGTAGGGGTTTTATGGCGCTCGCAACTGCATAAGGTCATATAGCGCCAAGGGGTGGATGTCAACAGAGAAGTCAAAATGGGGAATCAATGCAAACAACTCTGATAACAAAATGAAATAATTAACTTGATTCAATTGATGCCAGGTCAAAATTATCAGACGGTACACAGTTGGTTTACACCTCTGTTATACCCCCCCCCCCAACATATACACAGACATGCATAAACAAGACAGACGAAGCCAGGTATTCACAAACATATCTAGTGCATTCCACTCTTGTTTTGTTTTTAGTAAGGTTTTACAGCGCTCGCAACTGCATAAGGTAATATGAGCGCCAAGGGGTAGATGTCAAGAGAGAAGTCTAAATGGGAATAAGGTTTACTCTGCTTACCTCCTTAGCCTCAACAGCACAAAGTCTGCTTCGACTATCAAGGCACCCCGGAAATAGCAGTTCACAAGAGAGTGACAAACACACAAAAGAAGTAGAGAAAAAATGACGATAGTAAGGATGAGGAAAGAAAAAGCAGCAGTCCACCACGTTTGTAATGCACAACCTGCACGCTACAAATGCTACGTTTTCAAACTACTACCGGCAAATTTCTGGGAAGTAACAAAAACGAAAGAAGATCTTGATTTTCCCGATCGAGCCCCGGTCTTCGGTATCAGACATACACTTCCGCATGCCGCCATAGCCGCCTGTTCGCGTAAAACATACTCATAGACCGGGTAGACCGGGAAAAGCCGAATGAATATATCACAATCGGCAAAAATGAACTTCACTCTTTCGGGATGTATCGCCGATATATCGGCGCCAGTCCTCACCCTTTACGGATGATATATCGGCTGTGATAGGGTGCTCCAGTATTGTTTCGTTTTAACACGATCTGTTATTTATACAGTGGAATCCTGTTATAACGAGAGGGAGGGGACCGAAGCAAAATGTCCGTTATAGCAGGATTCTTGCTATAAGGGATCCAGTAATAAATTCTAGGGAAACTGTAAAGTAGGCCTAATCTATGAGTTTTGTGTTCTGTTTTTCCTTTTGCTATCTCCCCTGATGATGATTTTGTTTCAACATGACCTCTAGGTCTTGATCAAAAATCGAATCAGGTTTGTTTCTCTAGCGCTAGATCTAGTGATGTGGACTGACAGCTCGGCATTGGCGATCAGAAAGAAAGGGTTTATGATCGCCTAGGCTCAGGGCTAACTCGCCCGCTGTGTTTTCCCCCCACCCCACCCTGTGGTGCATTCTGTCTGCTTGCGCACGTCACACATTCGCTCCATCCATCACATTACTGTGACCTCTTCATCCCCACATCGGAGAAGTGAGAGGCATGGCAGGCCTTGATAATCTAAACTGGCCTATCATCACGCGATGCGTTCTGCTTGTATGTGCATGCCACATCCTCCCTACTCAGTTGTTCCGGCCTTCATTGTTGACCCACATGGGCTCTCCTATTCTTTGTTTCGCAAGATTAGCAACAAGTTTCTCAACCGGTGAGGTCTTGCATTATGTATAATTGGCCTATGCCATGTGCACAGCATAAGCAATATTCCACTATAACCGACTCGCATGTTTGTCTGATAGCGCTATAGCAGTATTTTGTTTACAAAGGTAAAGAGGAGAAAAAAACGGGGTTTTCGAATAGTGCCTTTATAACAGACTTCTCGTTTTTTCCGGACTCGTTATAAGTGGACTCCACTGTAATTACTTTTTATTGCTATTGAAAAACTCGGAAAGGATTTAGGAAACGAAAACATCTAGTTTCACTTTGTCAAAGCGTGGGTTTGGGGAAAAACGAGTGAATTAGTTCTTGCATCAACAAAACAATGTAACCAGACTCAGTATAATTTTCATAACTCAAACAAAAATTGGAATATTGCTTTCAAATAAAAAGCTGCGCATTCAGAAATTTATGGACTATGCTCTTGGCCTGTATATGAAAAGATAGCTATGCTGATTTTCTTTTACATGTTTGGTGAATGTAATTTTTTCCGTCAAAATTTATTTTTCTCATCACCATCGCCATTTCTAACCCGTCTAATGCATAGATATTTTCAAAATTAATCCTTGTTTCATATGGGATATATTCCTCTTTCAATTTCCTTCAATTTGATATGTCACATGTTACGTTTGGAGTGATGGCTATGCTTCTATGAAGTTATTTTGTACACCACCTGCATTGCCAAATCGAGCCACAGGTTAATTATGTTTAGATTCCCAAAAAAGTACGTCCGGAAAGAGTTAAGAACGTTATCGGATTTGGTTTTCAAATATTCGAGAACTTTTTACTATGCACTTGAAAATAAGGCAGCTGTTCTTTTCTTCTTGAGTGCTGTCTGCCTCAGGGCAGGTCAAGAGTTTAATAGTGCAGGTGGTTTATCCCTAAAGAGCAGATGGGGGCTTTTTCAGGACTGCTGTCTTGCTTCAAGACCACTGTATTGTGCGTTGCGTTGTCGCCAGTTTTTACACATGTAGGCCTACGTGCTGGCCCAAGTCTAAAAAACCGGCAGACCTAGGTCTGTTGAGGTTGAAAAACCGGCAGGGCCGGCATATGCAGGCGAACTTTCACCCATGGCAGGTTCACTGACTGGTCGCGATGGCGAACCTGACAATCTAAAAATCGGACGACGCTTGTATTTTCTTTTCTTTTTTCCACAAGTGACAGCACAGGGACGAGTCTGAGTACTGATTAAATTTTATTTGCATGGCGACACAGCATTCATAGTGCACAACCTGCACGTCACAAAATTAAATGTTGCATTATCAGACTTTTGCCCGCAAATTTCTGGGTGGTAACAAAAGCAAAAGTAGATCTTGATTTTCCCGCCAGATCAAGCCTTGGTGTCACATACACTTTCACCTGCCTCCATAGCCCCCCTTGAAACTTACTCTCTGACAGGGAAAAGCTGAACAAATATAATATCACAATCGTGACTGGCAAAAATGAACTTACTGACCTTATCGGACTTGGTTTTCACATATTCGAGTTCCGCGATACTGATAGTACTACTAAGATAGAACCCTCAAGATGACGGCAAATACAAAGACATGCAACCCGATATCTAGAGTGTCCAGCCACTACAAAAGATGGGACTTGGTAATCGCTGAGTACCGCGGCTATGACTCCGTTCACTGAAAAGTCTTGCTGGGTTCATTACCCCATAGGCAGGTTTAATTTACAACTGTTTACTATCGTCACGGCAAATTTACTACCATTTAGAACCTTTACGATCAGGGTGCAGAATTTACGACTTTTTTACCACTTAACGACCTTACCGGACAACCTGAATTTTGCATTCTGCATTAATTTCTCGTTATCAATGACAACTCGGCACGCCATCGTCCCAATGCTCGAACAACAGTTGACACTGTTGCTCCACTCCACAATAAACAATGTGAAACTTTAGTGCTAGGCACATAACGGAAGTAGGCAGCTACAGGCAGACATGAGAAAAGCCGCGTTTTCGTCTCACCCCTGGTTCAAAGTTTTCCATGTGCAATGAGTATCGTGATTTACTACTGAGAGTGGTCCAGCGGAAGAAGGAGGAAAATAGCTTATCCCGTTAAAAATTATTTGAAATACCATAGTGACATTACTATAACTGTCACGGTAGTCACCACAGTATTGTACTTTACTCTTTTTTAATCACGGGACCTAAGCGCCCCGTATGCCATGGGCTTTTGGTTAATGTTACTCACTTCGGGGATCAACATAAAAAGTCAGACACTACACCCGGGTTCATTATTAGAATGCTTGGTGTCGTGTGTGTTTGTCTCTCCGGTTTTACAGTCGTGTGTGTATACTAACATTACATGGTGTCAGAAGTCAGTGGATAACGTGTCACAAGTGTCAGAATGCCTCATTTCAAGCCTCCTGAACCGTTTGATTTTTCCAAACCTCACGAGTGGCGACAGCGTATGCTACGATACCGCACAGCCACCAAACTGAGTACACTATGGGATGCCAAGCTGAACAGATATTTAACACGTTCACGTTCCCCGCTCCCGTCGAAGGTAACGATCCTAGGGACAACTTTGACACTGTCTTAGAGAATTTCGACTCTCATTTTGTCCCAAAGTGGAATCTTATCCACGAAAGCCTGTACAAGCTTTCAGAACATGCAGACTTTAAGGACCGAGATGAAGCCATAAGGGATAGACTTGTCCTAAGAGTACTGGACAATGAACTGTCACAGCGCTTACAACTCGAGGCAACTCTTACTTTGAAATCAGCCATTGAAACAGCACGCCATTTCGAGCTCGTAAAGGGTCAGGTCAGTAGCCAACGTCAGCTAGGTGCAGCAGTCACAGTAGATGCAGTATGCTACGGCCAGAGGGGATATTCGTCGCCTGCTCACCCCAAGGGTAGAGATGGCCGAAGAACAGGTACACACTCACAACACATAGGCAGCCATGCATCACCGTCAACTTTCTCTTACCGTGGCAACTGTGGAAGAGGTCATGCCCAAAACAATTGCCCAGCGCGTGGGAAAACTTGCAGGAAATGCGGCAAGCGCAATCATTTCGCAACAGTCTGTCGCAGCAGCAGCCGCAATGTCAACGAAATCACTGAATCGGAAACTCCTTCGTTCTTTTTAGGTGCTGTTGACAAAGACTCGAACAGTAATGTCTTTTCTGATGTGAACTTCGGCGAAGTTAGCGAGCCACCATGGCGCGTTACACTGAACCTTGGAGGGAGAGCCACATCCTTCAAGATAGACACAGGGGCCATGTTTCGATAATGTCGAAGGCCTTCTACAACCGTCTCAGTCCTCGTCCAAAGTTGAAAACAACGTCTGCAGTTCTTTGCACTCCTGGTGGAGTCATAAGGAGCGTGGGAGAATTTATCGCAACTACGCAGCATAACAATCGCAACTTTGCGTTCCGAGTTTTCGTCCTTGACGACACCGACTGTCTTCTCAGTCGTGACGCCGCAGTTCGTCTGGGACCGATCTCTCAAGACAGAATAGACTCCGCCAACCTCGTGTTCGGCGATGTGGGACCTCAACCTATACGCTGCGAGCCAGTGAAAATCATCTTGAAAGTAGATGTGCAGCCATACTCTGTGAACGTCGCACGTCGGATTCCCATTCCACTCATGGACGAAGTCAAAGCTGAACTAGACTGCATGGAAGCCGCAGGTGTCATTGAGAAGATCAGCGCTCCAATTGACTGGTGCGCGCCCATGGTCCCGGTCAGAAAAAGGTCTGGTAGCGTTAGAATCTGTACAGATCTGAAAAAGCTCAACCTTTCGGTGAAGCGTGAACGATTCATGCTGCCCACCATAGACGACATCTTGTACAAACTCAGCGGATCAAACAAGTTCAGCAAGCTTGATGCAACTTCATCCTTTTGCCAGTTGGCACTGGACGACAACTCCGCGAAGCTGACCACTTTCATTCTACCGTTCGGTCGGTACTTCAACAGACATCTCTGCTTTGGAATCACCTCTGTGCCTGAGATATTTCAGCGCACGATGCAAGACATTCTAGCGAGCATAGACGGTGTTGAGTGCTTTATGGACGATATCCTCCTGCACACGGATGGTCAGGAGCAGCATGATAAGCTGAAGAAGAAAGTCTTCCAGCGGCTAAAGGAGCGTGGGGTCAAGTTGAACAAATCCAAGTGCAAGTTTGACAAGGACGAAATCGATTTTCTTGGCCACATCATCAGTGGGAAGGGTGTAAGGCCAGATCCATCCAAGGTCAGTGTCATCACTGAGATGCCAGAGCCAGACAACATTACAGACTTACGACGAGTGCTCGGCATGGTGAACTATTTGGGCAGGTTTGTGCCAAATCTGTCAACAGTCATGAAGCCGCTCACCGATCTTCTGAGTCACGATGCTGAGTGGGCCTGGACTCCAGCGCAGTCATCTGCCTTCACTGAGGTCAAGAGGTCGCTGTCGTCAGCTCCAACACTCGCCTTCTTCGACATGTGGAAGCCTGTCGTTGTAAGCGCCGATGCAAGCAGCTACGGACTGGGGGGGAGTTCTCCTCCAGGAGGACAGGGGTGATCTTCAGCCAGTTGCCTACTGTTCCAGACCTCTATCTAGGGCCGAGAAAACTACGCTCAGATTGAAAAGGAACTGTTGGCAGCCACCTGGGCGTGCGAAAAGTTCGATTGCTACCTCATTGGGCTGCCGTCATTCACACTGCTCACCGACCACAAGCCCATTGTGCCTCTGATCAACTCAAAAGAACTGAATGATACACCTGTCCGCTGCCAACGAATGCTGATGAGGATGATGCGCTACAGCGGAAAAGCAGAATACACCCAAGAAAAAAACATGACTGTCGCAGACTCCTTGTCCCGATGTCCTGTAGTGAGCACTGAACCTGAAGAATTTGGTGAAGAAATTGAGGCTCATGTCGCTACAATCCAGATGTCATGGGATGCCACAGATAGCAAACTTGACGAAATCAGAAACAAGTCTCAACAGGATCCAGCGATCAGTGCTGCGATACAGTACACTAGAAGCGGTTGGCCGAAATTCATACAAAACGTCAAGTCCGAAGCTCGCGACCTCTACGCACTTTCCAGTGAACTGAGCGAAGTCCATGGACTACTCGTCAGAGGTAACCGCATCGTAATCCCCAAGGCAATGCGAGGAGAGATGCTCAGCAGGATCCACGACGGTCACCTCGGAGTGTCGAAGTGTCGAGAACGGGCCAAATCTTCCATTTGGTGGCCTGGTCTCAGCTCCGAGATACGGGAAGTCGTCTGAAGATGCGACCATTGCCAGCGGAAACGTCCAGCACAATCAAACGAACCTCTAAACCCAACAGCTCTACCTGAGCGGCCGTTCCAAATGGTTGGTGCTGACCTCTGCAACTACAAGGGACATGACTACCTGGTACTCGTGGACTACTTTTCACGGTACTTGGAGGTGACCTACATGCCAGACACCACCTCAGAGACTGTCGTGTACAAACTGAAAAACATCTTCGCTTGGTTTGGCATTCCAGAACTACTGGTGACTGAAAACGGTCCCCAGTTTGTGTCAGACCGTTTCCACAAGTTTGCCAAGGGCTGGGGGTTTAAACACACGACCAGCAGTCCTCATTTTCCCCAGAGCAACGGCGGGTCGGAGAGAGCAGTCGAGGAAGCAAAGAAAGCCCCGAGTCAGGACGACCCATTTCTCGCACTTCTGATCTACAGGTCTACACCGGTGTCACCGACGGGGGCGAGCCCAGCGGAACTTGCTCTTGGGTGACGCCTGAGGACAACCCTGCCAACTCTACTGTCAAACCTGAACCTGCAGGTCTACGACAGGGCGAAGATTGCAGCCAGTGACGCTGAGTCGAAGCGTAAGTACAAACATGCTTTTGACAGACGTCACGGAGCCCAGAACCTCACGGAGCTGAATCCTGGTCAGCTCGTCCTGCAGAAGCTGGAGAACGACAAGGAGTGGCGTGGCCCTGCGGTTGTCAAAGAACGGTGTGCACCGAGGTCTTACATCATACAGTCTGGGGATAGGGCTTACCGCCGGAACCGCAAACACCTGAAGCCCTACGTCGACCCTCCTTCCATGCCTTCTTCACATGTTGCCACCCCAGAGCCTACTCTGATGTCCATTCCCTTACCTCCGCCACCAGCTGTCCAGCCGCTGGAGCCTGATGTCACACCACCATCACCTCAGCCAGCTGCCGTTCCAGCCAGTTCTGCTCCAACAACTACCCGAAGTGGACGAGTGATCAGGAGACCCGCTCGTTACCCGGACTGATGTTCTTGCGACACAGTCGTATCCTTCCGATGACTGTTTTTACTTTTTTGTTTATTCTTTGCTGATTACCCAACAGTTGTGTAGACCTACCAGTTCGAGGTAATTTATTTTCTTAAATTTCGTTATCTGGACGCTATGCAGTTCTATGAATGTGACAAAGACAATTTGAAATGTGATAATTCTGAAGTACCAAAGAACTTTATTGAAATGTTTTACCAAGTTCTCAAGTGCAAGCCCCGAATCTTCAAAGAAAATTGAACTCTGTGTGTGAATTTTGTTAAAGTTAGAACATTCCCCTTTGGTTATCATCAGAGACTCGAAACCAATAATCTTTAATCCATTTTGAGGTTCTTCTTTTTCTTCAATATTAAAAGGGGAGATGTCACGGTAGTCATAGTATTGTACTTTACTCTTATTTAATCACGGGATGTAAGTGCCCCGTATGCCATGGGCTTTTGGTTAATGTTACTCACTTCGGGGATCAACATAAAAAGTCAGACACCACACCCGCGCTCATTATTAGAATGCTTGGTGTCGTGTGTGTTCGTCTCTCCGGTTTTACAGTCGTGTGTGTATACTAACATTACAATAACTAGGATATTCTACAAGCCTCTTCTTTGACTCACTTTCTTTTGTCAAACCAAACAGTTTCAAGGCCTTTTTGCTGTAGTGCAGCCATCAGAACATTTACATCATAGTTTCCCCGGCCTAACATGCTTCGGTGTGGGTTGATAAATGTTCCTGGAGACAGCCTGTGGACAAGTGACAAAACTATGACACTACTGAGTCCTGTATCTACAAGAACAGCTGAAACAAAGTACTGAAGAAGAATTTTTAAAATGGTATATATATATACACCCATTTTGCCCATCCCACCAAACCTATAATAGTTACCAGTCAAATAATATCTCAGTATCTCAGGCTCATGTGTCCCATGGGCTTCATATCAAAAGAGAAATAGATCAAGTATAAAATGCCAGATAATTGTTAGCTCCTGTTTGAATTGAAGGCAGTTTCTTTTGAGCAACAAGATTGGTGTTGAAGACACTTCAATGGACAACTGTGAAGGATGGATTCAGAGAATGAAACTTAAATTTCACCTGGAGAACTTTGTTGCTTATAAAAGAGTTGGGAATGCATAAATATATTTTCATTATTATCTGATTTTAAACCAGAAAAATTTGGGTCCATTTTCCTTGATGGCTTACCTCTAAGTTCTAAGATACTCACACTTATTCTGATAAGATTGAGAGCTAATACGTTTTAATATGAATTTGTAAGTACTTTATTGAAAAAGAAAGAAAGAGTGCAAGTAAAAAGGAACAATCCAACAACTAAAAAAAAAATCCAATACACAGTAGACAAACACCAAATCTTAACCTAAGGAAATGGAAATGCACTCTTTTATTCTAGCATATATGCACATTGCATGTGTGATTATTACCTTTGAGGCTTCCAAGCCTTATCAACATCATATAAAAGAGCAACACAACAAGACTTAATCTGATTGTCTACCTGTTACAAATATCATCTAGGTCCTTCTGAGTGAAGGCTTGCTTTGTCTGCAGCAAGTTGTTCAGAGCATGTAGAGCACACAGCTGCTTTTCCTGCCGCTCATGATACAACTTACACTCGTTTCCATCAGACTTCTCCATTCTTTCAAATAGTTGTGAGATCTGAAAATAAATTTACCAGTATCAGAGATGCCAACCACAGAAAACCGAAATGAGTGTTGGGAGATATGAAAAAGTGTATTTTCAGGGGAAAATGTGTATTCTCCACGACCGACCGACCTACCAGTAAAATGTTCAGGGTGTCCAGCAATATTTCCTGAAAAAATTTTACTAGCTCACCAGCTCGAAAAAGGGAGCACACACACGTACAATAAACATGTATCCAGTCAAAAACATGTTAGTGTTCAGTGTCGTACTGGGGTCTTGTTTGACTTAAGTATTTCAGTCTGTTATAATAATATTTTCCTCTCATTATTATTATAAAAAATTAATCCTGTTTTGAGCGTTCGGAAGGGTCTAGAACAAGAATTTCGACTATCAAGAACCAGTCTGGGTGTCATGATTCATATTATGAACTGACAGACTAAAATTATTGCTCAAACTCAGAGAAGAGCAATAACTTGAAAGGCTCAAGTAGACCCGTGCACTGTGAGAGTTGTAACAACTGTGGGAGGGCAAGATGCAGTGACATTGAAAATCTGCCCGTCTTGAAAAGAAAGCTACAACATACACTGTAGGTTCCGCACATGGCCTGCACCAATGCGCGCTTTGCAGAGAGCTCTCGAAATTCTGAAATTTGCCTGTAAGTTTTTGTCCTCTGATGTTGCCTTCACACCTCCTCCTCCCTCCCCCCCCCCCCAGTATATTTCTAAAAAATCAATAATCCCCTCCCGTAGTCCTATACTTGGCAACACTGTTACTCCCACCAAACACGGTCTTTGCTTACACGATGCCGCATTTATTTGTGATGCGAATGCGCGCAGGTTCATTGACCGGTCACGATGGCGAGCCAGACAATCTAAAAATCAGGGGCTCTCGTGGCCTAGAGGTTAAGGTGTTGGCCTCTCACTTAAAAGGTCCCGGGTTCGAATCCGGGTAGCGAACGAAAAATTTTCTTCTTTAAAATTGTCTCCTTTCACCTTCTTTCCTGCTCTCTGGCAATGTTCTGTTGTCTGCTTTCATTTCCACTTTCTGCCCCCACCCCCTCACCTCCTTTGCCCCCTCCTCTGGGCTCCTGACTCTTTCTGCAGCCTTTCTACTGCTACTTCTTGGCTCCTCCCTACTGTTGTCTTTCTGCCACACCCCTGATCTTCTGGTAGGAAAGATCTACACCTAGCCTTCTTGGACAAGGGCGAAAAATGTCGGAGGGCCCCTGTGCAAGTTGCGCACGTTAAAGATCCCTTGGTGGTCTAAAATCGATAAGAGTAGGCTTCGGCCGCCACGTGGGCAAAATTCAAAATTTCCTACCAACTGAAAATATTAGGAGTGTCCTGCGCGCTCATATGACCTTATGCAGTTGCGAGCGCCGTAAAACACTTTACAAAAACAAATCTAAAAATTGGACGACGCTTGTATTTTCTTTTCTTTTTTTCCTACAAGTGACAGACAGCACAGAGACGAGTTCGAGAAATTTTATTTGCACGGCAACACAGCACGGTTTCATAGCTGCCACTCAGAAATTTATAAAAAGGAGGAAATTCGCGCGAAGGCGTACGCGCACTCTCCGAAACCAGTGAGAGCCAGAGGCAATATATACTGGAAAATCTAGCCTACGGTTTTGGAAGGGAAAGCTATCATATTGTTAACCATAGGCAACTGAATAAAAATGTATTTGAAACCCCCCCCCCCCCCCAAAAAAAACAAACAAACATAAAGGCAGTAAGTTGACTTACAAGCATTCGAGTCAATTTGACACAGTTTGGACTTGGTGACTAAAAATCTAGTGTTTTTTGCCAGCTGGTGTCTCATAAAAAGATTTCTTTCACTTTAAACGTGTACATAGACGTAGAGCAGTATCGGATCAAGGAGGAAGGCACTCCTGTACAATTGCGGTCCCGTTTGCACTTAGTGCCCCTGTAGTGTGTTTCTTATTTAGAGATAAACTGAATTAAAATTATAGCCTAGGCTATCTAATCTAGATCTAGATCTATCTAAATATGTGTAGATCTAGATTATATCTAGAGATAAGATTTTCTAGATTTAGATCTAGATTCACTTCCGCAGCAGCCACAATAGCCGCCATGTAAACAAACGGGACCGCAATTGTACAGGCACAGGAGTGCCGCGGGCCGCGATTTCTTTCGCAAAAAACGGCTAGATCTAGATCTAGATCTAGATATCTAGTTCAATTTTCTAATGAACTTTTCAAGTCGCATACCGGCTGCTTCTTTCTCATTCCAGCTCCTTTTATTTTATGTTTGCATTCTGAATCAATTTCTCTCGAATTTCCGCCAATTTCAATGACAACTCGGCGCGCTAACGTCCCGATGCCCGATCGACACTGTGTTGCTCCACAACAATAAACAATGTGAAACTAGCGCTGGGCCTAGAAGAACGGAAGTAGAAAGCTACGGCGGACATGCGCGAACCGCGTTTTCGTCTCTCTCCCGGTTCGGTGTTTTCCGCGTGGGAAAAAAAAAGTCTGAAATTTGCGACCAAGAGCGGTCCAGCGGAGGAAGGAGGAAAGTTGAGGGAAACGCTAGATGTAGCGGAGTTTCCGCTATTTAGCGGGAAAGTGGCAGCTATGGGTTTACACTGCACAACCTGCATGTCACAAATAAGTTGCGTTATTAGTCTACCGCTAGCAAACTAAACTTCTTGGTGGTAACGAAAGTGAAAGTAGATCTAGATTTTCCCGATCAAGCCTCGGTGTCACATACACTTTCGTCTGCCGCCATAGCTGCCTGTTCGCGTGATAGTGAAACGTACTCTCGGAGGAGGAAAAGCTAAACGAATATAATTATATCACAATCGCGACCGGCAAAAATGAACTTACTGACCATATAGACTTGGTTTTCAAATATTCCAGTTCCGCGATACTGATAATATTTTGACAAAAGAGGGGACTTGAGATAATTAGGTTTACTAGCCCAAACTGGATCTCGTATTTTTCGCATTCCAGGATGCATATTTTTTCATGAAAAGTCGTATTTGTGTATTTTCGGCCAAAAATCGTACTAAAATACGTAAAATCGTACTGGTTGGCATCTCTGCAGTATTATCTGCACAAGAAAACAAATTTCAAGTTTATTGTCTCTAAAAAAAAAAGTCAGGTAGACATGATTTTATGACTTTCTTCTTGCTGTCACCTTACAGCATGAAATCACAGTTCAAGGAGTTCACACTTTAGAATTTAAAAATATCAACGATAACAAATGTATGCAGACGGCGCCATTCTTCTTCTAATTCAAGGCTGCCTGTCTAACAACACAGATACGACTCAATTTTTGTCGAGAGGAAGCAAACCAGCTAGTTTGGTTCCAGCGTAACATGTTTACCAACAAACTGGCAGTTTGGAAACGACGTGACTTGACTTGGACTACTTATTTCCCTGTTATGTACCTTCTAAGACCATTGTCGCAGCCTTTTGATGAAATGATCATTCTCGTTGTAAGTAAACTGTACTAGATCTAGTGCCAGTGGCAGTGGGCAGCGAAGGGTCATGGGCTTCAGCCCCGCTATCTACCCCCCAATTCTATCCTAAAGCAAATTAAAATAACGAAATAAGCAGTTCAAACTGTTATGATCGCACGCAATGAACACAGTGATCAGCTTGGCGGTTTGCTCATTTATCCAATCACTGTTGTCTCCACCTACAACTATAGTAACCTAACACAACAGCCAAGCAAACGTCTTTAGGGCTCAGAAAAGGACGAGCCCGCTCCCACGGCCCTTCCTTAATGAAACCTCTCTTGTAAAAAGGCCATTTGGTGGTAAAGAAGCGGAAGAGACCTAAGCCCTACCCAAACTTTGGTCCACCCACCGCCACTGTCTAGTACTTAAACATCTCTACTAGTACTACGAGTTTTTCCCAACCATTCTCTTCAAACTCTTGAGTACAGAATCAAATTTTGCTTTTTGGCATTTTTCTTTATTTCCACAAGGTAAAACCACACCTCTGATCAATAAAATCCCTTGAAAAGTCTGAACGGTGAATGCGTACTCAACTTTGGCCCTCAGCGCAACTTTTACCATTTTCGAGAATTTCCGAATTTTAGCCAATTTCCCGTAAAATTTGGAAAAATAATAATAAAAGTTCATTAAAATAAATGGATATTTTTTTCATCCAAATAAAGAAAAGTGAACAAGCTTTTAAGATGATACCAATTATAACTCTACATGCCCAAAAATTGACGATAGCCTGATTCCACCAGGCTGGCACACATCTTGGAAATTCGAAATGTTACCGAAAGCACGTCGTTCTATGTGGGTATCCCAGGAAGTGAAGACATAACAGTACTAAAATTAGCACCCAATCAGAAAGATGCGTCTTCTACGTTTAATGGCTTGTGTTTCAGGGGGGCTTGCCCCACTGACCACTCTTCCAAAAAACATGGGCCGGGGGTTTCAGAGGGGCATGCCCCCTGAATTTAACCATAATTTGATGTTTCGCAATTAGGTCTGATTGGTTATCTTTCCATAGGCCTATCGGCACGCGCATCAAAAGTAATCGTTTCGAACCAGAAGTAGTCGGTGGGGTCAAAACAAGTAACATCCCTAAACGGGACCGCAATTGTGGAGTGCCGGAGTGGGAGTCCGAATAGAGATCTATATCTAGAAAGGAAGTGGCTATTCTCACCCAAGGTGGGAGTCCGAATAGAGATCTATATCTAGATTCTAGATCTAGAAAGGAAGTGGCTATTCTCACCCGGGGTGAGAATAGAAATACGATCGACCTCTCACCGCGGGTGAGACTTGCCACCGTAAGCTATTCTCACCTGGTGTGAAACAAAACCCGTTTTTCCTAATTTCGGAATACATTCTATCGATGTGGATGATCAAATGGATAAAGGCAAAGAAAAGGTTACGTTATAGTAGGCAGTTTAGTGAACGCGCTCGCGGCAGGGCGAATCGGCCGCGGTACGCCCCATAGATTTTTGTGACCGGCCGTGAAGCCTTGCGCTGCGGTGGGTCTAAACAACTCAGTTTTGTTTCGTTTTGCGAATTGCACTACCACTCCCGATACATCTTTTTAAACAGAAAAGAAAGGTCTTCAAAATGGCGGTCTTCGCGCGAAAATCGGTTCAGTAGAACTGGAAATATTTGCATCTGAAAACAAGGCAGTTTTTACAACGCGATAAAATGAAAACTACTGGCTGTATATTTATGAATCTTTCAGAAGTTATAGATTATCCATTCTAGTTTCTTTTGATACCCGAGTTGTTTAGGTTGAACTTCGCACAACGCTACGGCGCTTCCCGTAAAAATGCGTACAAAAAGCCGAAACGCCGAATCTCCGGTCAGCGACCCGGCGCCCCCGCTCTCCCCTGCACACTGTGATAACGTATTGCGCCGGCATCGCATTTATTCGCGCTTTACTTGTTTCTCCGGATAATAATAATACGTGCGGTTATGAAATTATGAACGGACAGACAAAAGAATTCACAGTTTTGCTTTTATTTTACCATATTTGGCTCTTGAATAGTGCAAATGATAGCTAAATCTAGAATTCAGCAGTAGTAGGCTAGAAACAGTAAAAAAAAAGCAAGCATATCTAACTATTTATGCCTTTGGGCTTTGGAATTGAAATAAAGCTTGAATTGCACCCTTCTAATTGATGTTAGATTCAGCATCTAGCTATATATTTCAGAGTTAATAATAAATTTCATCATAACAATTGCTTTTATGAGACAACCTTTTTCTTAAATCAGTTTTGCGCAAACTTACTTGTCAGTAGTATAGTAGTAGAGAACAGAGTTTATCTGAGCCTCTGCTCAGTCTTTCACTTTCAGTACCTAATAATTTAATGTTGTTATTTTCTGGATATTTTTACATTTACATTATCAAATTGTGCCATTAAAAAAAATATAATTTATGGCCAATGAGTCTGACTCAATATTTTAAAAAAAATATGCTCATCAATAAAAATCGCTAGTTGATAATAACTCAAAATGTAATGAATAGTGAAGAAACATGTGTGAAAAAATAATAGAATGAGGTAGACTATAAATATAATTTGTCCAAAAAATTGCAAGTGCAACTTGTGTGAAGATCATAAAATGACTGTTATTTTTTTCCTTTTCATCTTTCCGCAGTTTATTAAATGTTCCAGTGGGTCTACAACTAGGACTAGGTCTCCGAAGAGCATTTTTCTTGAATTTATAAGCTCTTTTATGCACTTGAAAGCATAAAATATAGCTTCACACAAATGTATGTTACAATACTTTGTAAAAGAAGGATAGGGAGCTGACTTATGGCGGTCATTAAGAGGTTGTTGTTTTTTTTACGGAATCCGTTTAACGGTTAGAAAAATACTAAAAATACGTTTTGAAATCTTAAGAATGGCCATAAAAATTGGAAATTATTACTTAATTGGCTTAACTCTTTAATAATTATTAACAGTGAAAAAAAACAAAGAGAATGATGTATGATTTGTCTAAATATGACCATTAGCAGCAAAGATATAGCCCATTTTGTCCATTTCGGGTTATCCTTGCGGGGGCTTTTTTATCACCCTGAACCTCTAGAAGTACCCAAAAAATATTTCTGTGACTTTGTAAAGAGGAGTTTTGTAGTTGTGTGCATTCTGTGTAAAATTCCCAACAAATTGATGTACAACACTTTAAAAAATATGCATTTTGTGTTGAGTAATGGTCATTTGTGTTGTAAAGTTGCATTTTTGTGTCACAAAAACTCAGTGTTAAAAGTGGCCTGAAATTGGCCGGATTTTAGGCATGAAAAATCGCCATAACTTTTTAACTAATAAAGATATCAACAAAATTTAAACTGTTTTATGATCATGAAGGCAAGAGCTTTCAAATGAAAGTATTTCAAACAAAGCATATGAGACAAATTTGAAATTTTCACTAAACTGCCTAGCTATAGCACAAAAGTAGGCGATTGTTAAGATTCCCGCGTTTAATTCCGATGTGCGTTTTTCATACCCTCAGGCATATTTCGCTTTGGTCCCTAACCCTAGATTAGGGTTGGGGTTAGGGCTTGGGTTAGGGCCAGGGTTAGGCTTAGGGTTAGGGACCAAAGCGAAATATGCCTGAGGGTATGAAAAACGCACATCGGAATTAAACGCGGGAATCTTAACAATCGCCCAAAAGTAAGCTAATTTTATCGACTACAAAGATGCTATGACTGATTATAATGGCTATTTCACTTTTCGAATCGAGCCGAACTACAGGGGTCGCCATTTTGTTTTGCCCCTAAGTTCTCGCAAGATCTACTCCTCCCCTCTTCTCTCTTTTTAGATCTAGATTTCTATCTCTTTCTGAATACTGTCTATCGGTGTGGACGATCAAATTGACCAAAACAAAGTTAAAAAATGATGTTAAAACACAAAAGTAAATTAATTTGGTCATCTACAAAGATGCTACGGCTATTTAACTTTTCGAATCGAGCAGAACTACGGGCGCTTTTTCAGTAGTTCCCACCCCGCAATTGTTATTCACGGGTTTTGGCCCCAAGAGTAGGGGGGTTTCAGGGGGGCTTGCCCCCCTGAATTTTACCACAATTTAATGTTTTGCTGTTGTTAGGTTGGATATCTTAGTTCACCGCCAATCAAACGTATAGATCTAGATCTAGAAGTAGGTCAGGCTCAAATAAGGGGGGTGGGAACTACCAAAAAAGCACCGAACTACGCGGGTCGCCATTTTGTTTTGCCCGGAAGTTCTCGCGCTACTCCTCTCTCTCTCCACTGCCCACAGACAAAATTGTACGCTTTTAGTAGGCTAACAGTAGTAATGGAACGTTTGTTCACGTCACAGAATTCTACAATTTTTCTGTTATCACAGTGTAGAATTCTGTGGTTTAGGGTGAACGCAAATTTGGTTGGCCTAGATTCTAGATCTAGGCTATAACGGAATGGTGAAGACGCACCGGGTGAGAATGAAAGTGGCTATTCTCACCCGCCCGGAAGTTCTCGCAAGATCAACTCCTCCCCTCTTCTCTCTCTCTCTATCTCTTTCTGAATACTGTCTATCGGTGTGGACGATCAAATTGACCAAAACAAAGTTAAAAAATGATGTTAAAAGGCCACCTCTATTCTCACCCGGGATGAGAATAGTGCAGGCTAGTCTTTTGGCTATTCTCACCCGGTGCGCGTTCACTGTTATAGCCTAGATCTAGGCCAACAAACAAAAAAACCCAAAAGTAAATTAATTTGGTTGCGAGAACTGTGATAACAGAAAAATTGTAGAATTCTGTGCCGTGAACAAACGTTCCATTACAACTGTAGCCTACTAAAAGCGTACAATTTTGTATGTGGGCAGTGGAGAGAGAGAGAGAGAAAGAGACAGAGAGAGGAGTAGCGTGAGAACTTCCGGTCAAAACAAAATGGCGACCTGCGTAGTTCTGCTCGATTCGAAAAGTTAAATAGCCGTAGCATCTTTGTAGACAACCAAATTAATTTACTTTTGTGTTTTAACATCATTTTTTAACTGTTTTGGTCAATTTGATCGTCCACACCGATAGACAGTATTCAGAAAGAGACAGAGAGAGAGAGAGAGGGGAGGAGTAGATCTTGCGAGAACTTCCGGGCAAAACAAAATGGGGACCCGCGTAGTTCGGCTCCATTCGAACAGTGAAATAGCCATAGCATCTTTGAAGACGATCAAATTAGCTTACTTTTGTGCTATAACGTAATTTTTTCTCGGCTTTTATCAATTTGATCATCCACACCGATAGACAGTATTCCAAAATGAGGAAAAGCAGGTCTTGTTTCGCACCGGGTGAGAATAGCCTACGCTGGCAAGTCTCACCCGGGGTGAGAGGTAGATCGTTTTTCTATTCTCACCCCGGATGAGAATAGCCACTTCCATGTTAAAACCCAAAAGTAAATTAATTTGGTTGTCTACAAAGATGCTACGGCTATTTAACTTTTCGAATCGAGCCGAACTACGCGGGTCGCCATTTTGTTTTGCCCGGAAATTCTCGCTCTACTCCTCTCTCTCTTAGTAGTCTACTCTTTCTCTCCACTGCCCAGACAAAATTGTACGCTTTTAGTAGGCTACAGTTGTAATGGAACGTTTGTTCACGGCACAGAATTCTACAATTTTTCTGTTATCACAGTGTAGAATTCTGTGGTTTAGGGTGAACGCAAAATTTGGTGAACGCGCACCGGGTGAGAATAGCCACAAGACTCGCCTGCACTATTCTCACTCCGGGTGAGAATAGAGGTGGCCGGTGAGAATAGCCAAAAGACTCGCCTGCACTATTCTCACCCGGCAAAGACAATTTTGTTTCGTGTTTACAAAGCTGCTTCATTGATTATATCACCATGACATCGTCATAATGTCAGCAGAGCCAGGAGAGAGAGAGACAGATTAGGCTAGCTTACTGAGTTCAGCAACCAGTGGCCAGACACTGTGACTGTGACGCTGTGACTAACAAAACGTTCAATAGATCTATACCGGAAGAAAACAAGCAACGCAACTGCTGCAAACTGTAAAGTGATACGGGACAAATGTTGAGTTCCAAAAAAAAAATCTTAGCCTAGAAAAGGCAGGCTCAAAAATTGTTTTTAAACTACAGAGAAGCAAATTTGGATGCAAAAATATAATTAAAAAGGCTTATAATGTCTTTGATTTTTTGGACCCATGACTTTGAAAAACCACAACACATATTTACTGTGGGTCTTTTCCTAAACATGTTTAGCTTCCTGTACTGATGACACGGTGTTGCAAATCCATGATGGCATATAAACAATGTAAGATCATAACAACAGTTGAGTTTATTTATAGTGACTTAGGTTGTTCAAGTGCTGTTTCATTCAAATTACATCAGGCAGTACAAGTACCATATGAAAGTTATGTTCCCCTCTTATATTTGCTTATTTCTGTGGACTAGCCAGCCTGAAGACAGTGGTATCGAGGTTGCTAACCAAACGACCGAGAACGTAGCAAGTTTACTCTGCTGAACCAGAAGCTGCCAGATGGCATAATATAAAATATTGCGATAGTGCCCCAAAGACGTTGCACGTAGTATTTTACCATTTTGATTTGGATGTGTGAGATTTAACAAATTGTTTTACTTCTCATGTTGAGCTACACAAGCTCTGTTCCTGTTGCATATGGTTACAAATTCGCTGGCTGCACCTTTTTTGCCTCTGACTCCGATGTAACATAAGATACAGAATAGCATATGATGTGTTTCCTATAAACCATCATGCTTTAAGTACATTCTAGGCACCAGCCTTTTGGGTGAGTTTCATAGGCTATATTTTCAGTGAAATGAAAGTATATATGCACTATTAAAAGTCACAAGAAGACATAAAAAAGCTAGAGGCCCATTTATAAATTGTGAGTAGTCTAGTAGATCTAGATCTAGTAGTGCCAGTGCAGGGTGAAAGGCAAACTGAAATGATGCTGTAGACCTGCCTCTGCTATTTATAGTTGGTCCGAATGTGTCTTTGTTTAATTTATATGAGAGGTATGTGTACAATTTAAAGTATATTTAATTTTGATGCCAATTAAACAATATAATTTTTAATAGTGTTAAGTTAAAGGCCGGCACTATTTCTCCGAACGTTCGGGAAAATAAAGCTAGGCACTATTTCTCCGAACGTTCGGGAAAATAAAGCTAGGCACTATTTCTCCGAACACTCTGAAATCACATCCTTTCCCGCAAATTTCGGATATTATATAGATCTATAATTATAGTATAGGCCTACCAAAGATTGTTCGTATACAATATGGTTCAAGCGGTCCAAAAAATGTCCGCAGTAAATATTTATATAAAGAATGCTACAATTCCAAACAGTTTTTCGCTACAGATATGACGAGTTGCCTATGAAGGGTGCTGCTCTTAAACGTAATGTATTGTGTTCACTCGTGTGCTGTCTAGATCTAGATCTAGATCTACGGAGGGTTATTGATAACGACACATAGAACTATTAGAACTGGCATCTGCGGTGGTCACTGCCACGACCAATAATGTACCGACACTGGCAGGCCCCTTAAGGTGTGTGATTCCATAATTTACATGTAATATCCTCTCCTTTAAAAAAAAAAAATTACTCACATTTAGGGTTAAAACAGCCAATCTTCTTCGGACAGGTGGACACACGCCCTTATTTGTTAATGTTTGTTGTTTATCATGGGCTGTTCTAATTTTGATTTCATTCTGTTGTGAAACATTTCTTTTTCACGTTTTTACACTCATCTAAAAATCTCTAGACTAGCTCTTGAAAATTGAAATAAATATAGACCCAAAAATTTGCTCTTGTGTGTGTGTGTGTGTGTGTGTGTGTGTGTGTGTGTGTGTGTGTGTGTGTGTGTGTGTGTGTGTGTATGTATGTGCGTGTGTGAGTGTGTCTGTGTGTGATAGTAAGTGTGTAAGTGGAGAGTGAGTGTGTGTGTTTGTTTTTCGGACTTTATTTCAGCCTTCATTCAGTAACAGTTCAAAGTATACACTTCATTCAGTAACAGTTCAAAGTATACACAAATAGAAACACAGGATCCATTCACTCCAGGGCTCACGAGTCGTTCATCTTTTTCAGTTTCACTCATTCATTCAATTCCCGTGTTCTCTCCCGCGGCTCATCCTCGTCCGCATGGCTTTCACACCCCACCCCCTCCCTCCAGGCATACACAAAGAAAATCTCACTCATTCCCTTGCACCCTGCGAACCATGGACAATAATATAGGCAAAACACTGCCTAAGCTGCATTATTTTCGTTCGTGAGCTGTGGACCAGGCCAGGGGGGTCGGTGTCGTCGTCTTGTAGTTGCTGTCGGGTGTGGATACACTTGCACATTTTTCCTTTAACCCGCTCTTTCACTCACACTGTCTCTCCATCCACAGCTCAGCTCGTCATACGTTCAAAAGTTGTCCATTGGTCATGTTTGTTTAGTTAGTGTGTGTATAAGTTTGTGTGTGTACATGTGCATGATGGTGGTGGGTGTGTGTGGTGGGTTTTACTGAAGGTTGTCTGTAGGCGGGCTTTCCATGCGGTGTTCCTTCCCCCAGACTAGAGGCAGAATGAAAGTTGGCGCCGAACTCTCGCAATAAATAGGCAAAACATCACGAGACCGGAAGCCGGAAACCGTTCGGAGAAATAAAGATGGGCACTATTTCTCCGAACGTTCTGAGAAATAGTCACTTCGTAAGTTAAATGTGAAAAAGGAAAGTCTTTTCTTTTTTCTTTATACGCAGTTTTGTGTGTTCTCAGCTGTCATTTTGCTTTTTAAAAAACTTTTCATGAAGTATTATTTAAACATGCGATTAATTTTCATTAGGCCTACGCAAATTAATGCTATCTTTAAATCTTACCTTTTATCATAGCCCAACAAGTCTAACTGTTTTCAAATTTTGGGAACTTCATTGAGCTAAAAATAGGTTTCTTTGATTTCTATTTATACATCTGACAGATTGCTTCTAGTAGGGCTTAAGATAGAGGTCTAACTGATTTGTTGGATTATAATTATTTTTATTCATGCTGTACTGTTCTGTAAGAATTTATGCCTGTGAATTCATCAATGTGTGCGAGGGTGTCTGGGTTAGCTTTGTGGGATTGTCTTTACTCAAGGATGTACTGGAGAGAGAGAGAGAGAGAGAGAGAGAGAGAGAGAGAGAGAGAGAGAGAGAGGATTAAAACTCACTGTTGAATTCACTTCAGCCCTTCTTTTTCTCAACTGGCAAGCTAGCTTACTGAAACTTCAACATGTAGGCCTAGATTAGAATAATTATCTGCTTTTTTAACTCCCTTTCTTCTTTTGTCTGCAGTCTCCCACTTTGCTCCTTCTTGTACCTTCATGTCTGTGACACTAAGTAGTGGAAATTAATGAGAAATTATTTTTTTGCTCGTGCAGTAAACAGGGCTGCCTAAATCTACCGATTTTTCTGGTAGATACCGATTTTGGGCCTGTTCTACTGCCATACCGATAAGGTGTCAAAACTACCGGATTTGCGATGGGTGCCGAGAGAAGAAAAAAAACCCAGTTCTGCAGTGCTTCCATTCTTCTTTGTTTTTGCGGAAATCCGTACATTCCGAAAGTGCCATACTTGCCGCATCATCATTGCACCTCCATGCATTAGAGAGAGAGAGAGAGAGAGAGAGAGAGAGATCAGCTCTTGCCTCTGTAACTTGTCAGATGATTACGGCATCTCCCGGCAATAAATTGTATTAGAAACTACCAGAATGTGCATTTCGTGTGCTCGACCATTGTCTGTGCCACTCTGTCGGCAATAGTTTTTCATGTGCATATCGGCTAAAATTTGTCTATTCACGATAGATAATCTTTCTTTCTTTCTGTCTACCATTGGGTTTTTCCTGCAGCTGGATAATCGGTGCATTTAATTCATTTATCTAGAAAACAGAATTGTGAATGTAGAAAGAAAATCGATATCGAAGCAAAACATTTTAAAATATGTCTTGGTCTAGAGAATTGATCAGTATCAAATGAGGATTCTACGCAGGGGGACTGTGGGAATCTGAAAAAAAAAAATAGCTGAGACCTGAGAAAATGCACAAAGTCCTGGAAATCAAATCTGAGTTGATATTTATAATTTTACCGGTCGCGTTTGTGATATTATGTTCGGCTTTCCCCAGTCCTAGAGTACGTTTCACACGAATTAGCGGCTATGGCGGCAGGCGGAAGTGTAGGTGTAATACAGAGACTCCATCAGGAAAGTCAAAATCTACTTTCGCTTTCGTTACCGCTCAGAATTGTCTGATGATAGTTTGTTAACGTTAGATTAACAGTTAATAAAAATTTATAACTTGCAGTTTGTGCGTAAAAAACGCAGTGTCGCCATACAAATTAAATCGGTATTCTCACTGATGTATCTACAGTGGAGTCCACTTATAACGAGTCCTGAAACAACGAGAAGTCTGTTATAAAGACATCATACTAAAACCCCGTTTTTCCCCTTCTTTATCTTTGTAAATAAAATACTGCTATAGCGCAATCACATAAATGCGCGAGTCGGTTATAGCGGAATATTGCTGCTCCTGTGCACAACGCATAGGCCATTGAAACATGAAAACCTCGCCAGTTGAGAAACTTGTTGGTTATCAAGCGAAACAAAGAATGGGAGAGCCCATGTGTGCCAACGATGAAGGCCGGAGCGAATGAGTGGGGAGTGTGTGGGACGCGCAGACACACCGTTGTGAAACAGAACGCATTGCCTGATAACTAGTCTTTCTCAGTCCTGATAATGATAAGCCAGCCTAGTCTAGATTATCTAGGCCTAGATATCTATCCTGCCTCTCACTTCTCCGATGCGGGGATGGAGAGGTCACAGTGCTGTGATTGATCATGGAGCGAATGTGAGACGGGCGCAAGCAGAGGAGATGACAAAAAGAAATAAACAGAACACCAAACTCATAGATTAGGCCTACTTTATTATTTCCTTTGAATTTATTACTGGATCCCTTACAACGAGAATCCTGATATAATAATAGATAGCATTTGTATAGCGCATATCCCCGCTCAACAGCAGGCTCTATGCGCTTTACACTATATAACGGACATTTCGTACCGGTCCCCTCCCTCTTGTTATAACAGGATTCCACTGTATAATGACAAAAAAAAAAAGGAAGAAAAAGAAAAGAAGTGTCCTCCGATTTCTGGATTGTCAGGCCCGTCATCGTGACCGGTCAGTGAACCTGTCCGAGTTCGCATCGTGTGAGTGCGGCATGAGTAAAGGACTGGCCGACAGTTGATGGGATAATCAAAGTTCATTCAAAGTAGGAGTGTTGCAGTGCTTTGAAATTGAGGAGAGGTGTTTGACGCAATAAAGTCTACGGCAGCAGGATAAGGCCACGGTGCAAGAAACGGGTGCTAAAATAAAAACGATAAGTGCGTAAATGAGGGAACATTAGAGCACAGGCTTAATGATTGTGTCTTCAAGGTTGGTGTTTCCGGATTTGTCACTGATGACAAATTGAATAGTGGCTATGAGGAAATGCCATTTTCAACACTCGGAAAGCTCTATGTTGGATGCCTATGCATCATGATGGCTTGTTGCTGATTAAGAAGTACTTATTACAGTTAACTCCTACTTTGCATGACAACCGTTTTTTTCCTGTTTCTGGAGCACAGGGCCATTTGATGAAGACAACTATTCAGAGAAATGGTAGCAGCTTAGCACAGACCTATATGAGACCTTCCCATGGGCTGTTCCAATTGCTTGCAGGTCAGGGCTTGAGTAGGGCACAAATGTTAAATTTTTATGTAAAAGGATGCACAAAATTTTATATTTTGTTTCTGTGCTTCTGAAAAGTCTTGTTTTTGTATAATAAAAGAAAGGGATGTTGAGGAAGTGAGAGAACTCTACCATATTTTAAACCTGCATTAATTTTAGTTTCATTTCGTTCACAGGTTGGCAAACACCAATTCCTGTGATGAACGTATGAAAAGTATCCCTTCTGTGCTGAACTGGATCAAACAGTCATTATACACACAGCAGGAGGAGGAGCCCATCTATAAACTTTTCAGTCACCACTAGTGACCCTCTTGATATTTTTACATAGTCATTTTCAATAACAGCGGTCAAAGTAATTTGTTTTTGAGCTGAAAGTGAAAGTCTGTGTCAGGGGACTGAAGTGTCTTGTCATGGCTGCCTTAATGGAAGTGGATAAAGTGAATACTCCAGAGCTGGAAAATGGAGGGGGTCTTTTTGACCCTGTGCCTGAAGATGCAGAAGTCATTTCAACATCTAAGGTGAGTAAAGCATAATTGAATAACTGGGGGGAAGGGGAGGGTAGTAAATCATCAATGAGTTCATACATGTGTTGTGAAACTAGATTCATATTTTGTGGTGTTCAAGCGCTTTAACAGCAAATGTTCTAGAACTGTTTTAATCAGTCTTCTAGTGACTGTTCTTACTTTTCTTGTTTTCATGTTTGAGCAGACACGTCATTGCTGAGGAAGCTTGACTGCTTTATGTTTATATGGTCAAGGTGGGGTTAAGTTTACTTCTCCTTCACTTCCAATGACAACTCTTTCCTAAATTGTCTCTCTGTTGGAGTTCCACCTAGTGAGGAGTCTTTCATTTGTCAACTCATTAGTCATTCTGTCTATATGTGTCATGACACAGTGGAATCAGGCGCTCGTCTATTTTGGGGCATATGAAGTTATGGGTATCATCTTAAAGCCTGTCCTTTTGCCTTACTTTTGATGGAAAAAATATCCATTTATGTTTTGTATAAGTCAAGATATTGGCAAATGAAGGCGGTGGGGGTCGCCTGGTTTTAGAGGTAAAATTAGCGAGAAAATGGCTGTCGAAGTTGCATTATTTCCTTAGCTTGAGAGTCCGTTGTAACTGAAAATTTACATCTTTTATGCCTTTAAGAAAGATTTTTCTGTAAAATCGACTCAGAAATGTATTCTTTAATGTGCATAAAAGATGTTGAGCCAAAAAAGAAAAAATAGATAAAAATTCCAAAACCTGCGGGAAAATGCCAGTTTCTTCACTTTCATTACTTTGACGAGCTCCTGATTTCACCACACTACCTCACATAGGCTTACTGGCTTTAAAAGTGATATAAACTTTGTTCTGCAGCTGGCTCTTGTGAGTCCTAACAACGAGGAGTTTGATCTGCTGTTGGAGGATGTCACGTCCAGATTGATGGAGTCACAGGGGGAAACTATCTACGAAATAGGCACAGGAGGTAAGTGCACGTTGGTATGGAATTAGTACAGTGCTAATTGCTGTGGAAGCTCATTAGAAGGGCATTGTTGGTCTGTCAATGGTTTGTTCTGGAGAGAGATTTAGTCAGGAGGTTAGTCTGAATATTTAATCAAGCAGATGCACTATTGGTGATATGCTTTAGTATACCAGGGTTAGATGACTGCATAGATCTATTTTATTTAATAAAACTGAGTATTGACCGTCTGCAAAAAGTCTTAAATGACTTATAAAACCATTAAAGGCATAGGCCAACCAAAAGTTAAAGCTGTTAGTGAAAAATGACAAAAATCGGTACTAATGAACCTTTGAAATGTTTTTCCTGTTTCTGAAATAAATGATCATGTTTATTCTGAAGTATTTTCTGTAACTCAGCAATCACAAAAATATCCATCTGAATGACAGATGGCGACAGACCAGGATTAAAGGATGATGACTACCAAGCATCAGTGGCCACCCTTCACAGCATAGCACAAACTTTGGACCTAGAATGTGTGCTGTTACGAGAAAAGATAGCAGAAGAAGGAAAAGTCTCGGAGTTCTTATTGCGGAGGAAACTGGATGCAGAAGATTTTATGGAAGTCAGGTAAAGTCTTTTGTTATTTTGTTTCAACTTAAGTTAAGCTTGATTAATAGACAGCGATTTTTGTTGTGTAATTGTCACATTCTTTGCTGTTGCATGCCAAAAAACAACAACCTGAGTTCAAGTCATGTATGAGGCAATCTACTGTATTGAGTATCTCTGTCTTTCTGCTGGATTTTATATCCCACTCCGCCAGGGTTAGCCCTAACAAGTAAAGTCAAAGCAAACTGCTTCCTGAATGTATTGAAGGGAATAGAAAAACATGATCTACTATCTGTCATTATTTTTAGACCAATTGTTTGTGTAGGTTTGCTTCCTGATTTATGATTTGTAAAAACATTTTTCAGTACAAGGAAAAGCTGGTCTTCCAGTCTATATTTTGATGTCACTGCACAAAGAATTTATTATCCATTTCAGCATTTTCTCCTTGGAAGAGCCTTTATAACTGCCTATTGGTTAGATTGCCAAATCTCATTGATTGTATGGAATTATTAATTCTGTGAATAGTAATAAACATACACTACTGTGCCTGAAACCTACAAATGTGGTTTCTGTTAGTTTTTCATTATTCCAAGGGATAATCACCAAAGCAAGCTTGTGACTAGCTGATTCAGTATGTATCAGTATTACAATTTTGTATTTTTACACTTTTGTACAGGGTAGCTGTTGTGGGTAATGTAGATGCAGGAAAAAGCACACTGCTCGGTGTGTTAACACATGGAGAACTGGACAATGGCAGAGGTGTTGCCCGGCAGAAACTGTTCCGTCACAAGCATGAAATGGAGTCAGGACGAACGAGCAGTGTTGGGAATGATATTCTTGGATTTGATGCCTCTGGGGATGTTGTGAATAAACCAGAGCATGGCCATTTAGACTGGATAAAGATCTGTGAGGAAGCTGCAAAGGTATAGAGTTAGAGCTTTATGTAATGTTTTCTCTGAGATTTCTTTTTCCTATAAATGTTCTTCTTTGTGAGCTCTCTCTCTCTCTCTCTCTCTCTCTCTCTCTCTCTCTCTCTCTCTCTCTCTCTCTCTCTCTCTCTCTCTCTCTCTCTCTACTTGTAGTGGTATTATATATCCAGTTCTAGAACTACCTCTATTTGTGAGACGACGACAACAGTGCGCAAGTTCAAATTTGTTTTCTCTGACCGTGCGTGTGTGGTGTGTGACTTTTTTCCCTCCCGTTCACTACTAGATTCTAGATCTACTACTACGTCGCCGGTGTGTTGCTAGTGTGTCGTGTGTGTTTACGCGCGCCTGCGAGCCTGTGTCGTGTGTCCGTCCCCCTGTGGGTGTGTCGTTGGTGGTTGACACGTGGACGGACTTTGTGTTGTGCCCCCCGCGCGTCTCTCCTTGTAGCCTACGGTAAGTGATTCCGGCCCCTGTCCATGTAATGTGATTAGACTAGTTT